TATTTACGTTTGTAACGGTAAACATTTAATTTATTTATAATTATTACGGTAATTATAAAAAGTGTGTTAACAAAAGAAATATTTTGTCTAAAAAAAAACAAAACATATTGTATTTGTGGATCCGCTCACTGTTAACAAACCTTTGTCTGGGTTATTGATTAATTAGTGTATAAAAAATGACTGAATCTTATTAACAAATCAGACCACAATCCCTCTATATAAATGTATAAATTTTTTCAGCATTAATTTGGTGCTTCACTGCCTGGCTCGTGGCAAACAGCATCCAAAAAAAATACCATTGTTTGTAATGTGGACCAAAAATAAAATAACGGCAAAGGACTAACACCATGGAATGTTGACATTTATATCAGTATTTATACAGTGTGCGAACACGTTTAGTGCAGAAATAAACTGCCCGTGTGTTTAGATACTTTGTGTAAAGTATAATCTGGGCCAATTTTTGAAGGATTTAGTGAAACTGGTTTGGTTTAATGTAAAATACAAAACTAAAAAGATATCATTAACCCCTTCTCGACCTCTGACGTACCAGGTACATCCGACAAAAAACGGTCGTTAACGACCTTGGACATACCTGGTACTTCCGCACCAAATAATTCACTTACCTGATCTCTGGCGATCCCCCGCCAGCGAACGCGATGTGTGGACTTGCCTGGCATTCTAGGCAGTCCCCCTGAGGCTCATCCGGCCTCCCTGGACAATGTATTCGCAAAGTCCTCCCAATCACATGACCAGAATAGCTGGCTTGTGCAGTGCCTACAGGGGGCCTGCCTGAGCTCTCAGGCTGGACTTTTCTAAGTATCTAAGTACCTCCCCTTCTCAAGTCTGAAGCATTATTACAAGATATGAATTTTTTCTGTTTTTTAAATCTACTTTACTGGACTAATACGGCTACAATCTCTACTTGAACAAAATATATATATATATATAACAAACTATACGTAGATAGCACTCCAATGACTTGTTAGTAGGGTGAAGAAAATAACTTAGCTTTTATTTAACAGTATGCCATAGTGAAACAACGTTTCAGTTCCCAGTCGGAACTTTCGTCAGGATAACCCCATAGCTCCAAACACATCTTTAAATAGCAAAAAAGTGCGGGAAACTTGTAAAGGTAAAATACCCTCCCCCTAGACAAAGGTAATACCTGTGATCAAAGATCCAGACTAAACAGTGCAAACTGCAGATTGATGTGCCACATGTGGACCACAAAACTACACTTAACCCCTTCAGGACGGAGTCAATAGTGCACGTTCTGATCAAAACAAAGCGTAAACAAAAACTGGAATTTGCGCTATATGTCTGTTCAACCGTAATTCACCGCTGTCACATTAAGTGCACCCACACTTATTATATATAATTTTGTTCAGGAGAAACAGGGCTTTAATGTATCATTAACTATTCATATATGGAACATCATTTATTATGAATAAAATTTAAAAAGATTTTTATTTTAATTTGTATTTCCGTCTGACATTTTAGCTGTTAATGTCATAATACAGTTAGGTTTTACTTAAAAAAAATCACATATTTGTAATCAGCGATGTCTCACGAGTACAACAGTACCCCCCATTAACAGGTTTTATGGTGTTTTGGAAAGTTACAGGGTCAAATATAGAAAGTTACATTTTCAAACTGACATTTGCCAGATTAGTAATGTTACCTCTGAGACGGTGTGGTAGCCCAGGAATGAGAATTACCCCCATAATGGCATACCATTTGAAAAAGTAGACAACCCAAGGTATTGAAAGTGGGGTATGTTTAGTCTTTTTTAGTAGCCACTTAGTCACAAACACTGGCCAAATTTAGCGTTCATATTTGTTTTTGTGTGAAAAAAGCAAAAAACTAATATTTGGCCAGTGTTTGTGACTAAGTGGCTACTAAGAAAGACTAGACATACCCCATTTGTAATACCTTGGGTTGTCTACTTTTGCAAATGGTATGCCATCATGGGGGTAATTCTCATTCCTGGGCTACCATACGTTCTCAAAGGCAACATAACCAATCTGGCAAATTTCAATGTCAAAAAAATGAAATGCAAGCTTTATATGTGACTCTCTAACTTTCCAAAACACCATAAAACCTGTACATGGGGGGTACGGTTATTCTCGGGAGACTTCACTAAACACAAATATTAGTGTTTTACAGTAAAACATATTACAACAATAATATAGTCCATAAAAGTTCCGTTTGTAAAAAATGCAAAAATTTCACTTTTACTTAAAATATCATCGTTGTAATACAATTTATCATTTTGAAACACTAATATTTGAGTTCAGCAAAGTATCCCGAGTAAAACAGTACCTCCTATGTACAGGTTTTATGGTGTCTTGGAGAGTTACAGGGTCAAATATAGTGCTTGCGAATTAAATTCTCTGCACTTTCTCCCTGTCAGACATGTCAATCAAATTTTAATTAATCAAATCACATAATTATGTTAAAAAATTACTTAAATATACACGAAGAATTTTAATATATATGCATTTATAGGTATTTAAATTCTACGTGTATACTATGTAATCTTTTATGTAATTATATGTATTTATCTCTCTCTATATATATATATATATATTTGCGGTTATTTGTATTTTATATATAGATAGATATATATATAGAATGTCATTCTAAGTGTATTTTGTTACCAATATATATATATTAATAACAAAATACAGTTAGAATTAAATTACATATGAATATATAATTTATATTAAATTTTGTTTCAATATTTTATTTATTTATTATTGTAATTATACGTATATATATATATATATATAATATATGTGTATATAGCTATTATATATATGTAACATCATTCTAAGTGTATTTTAATATTAATATATATGTACTTATATTAATATTAATATTAAAATACACTTTGTATGATGTTACATACATATAATAGCTATATACACATATCACGGCGGAAGTGAGTAGTTGCGCTCCCCTGGGGCTGAAAGCCGTTGCGGCGTTCTATGCCGCCACAATGGCTTTAAAGCCCTTTATCCCCTTAAGGACACAACTTCTGGAATAAAAGGGAATCATAACAGAATATTTCTGTCATGTGTCCTTAAGGGGTTAAAGCCGGAACGGCATAGAACGCTGTAACGGCGTTAAGGGGTTAAGCACCATCAGGTGACCACTAAGTAGTGTGTTTCATGTGAATATGAATACAAATAGACACACTCCATGCATCATAGTGTATAAGGTACATTAGGTACATATTAAACAAGAACAAATGTGGATCCTATGATATCACCCTTGGTGTAACTAAAAGTGAAACTTGAATGATATATATACATGCAAGACAATTTACATACTTTATATATGAATACTAACTGCACACAACAATAATAAGAGAACTGTGATCCATATATCCCAGATAAAAATACAAATAAAAAACCCAGAGACACATTCATAATGAGATGTATACAGAATGCTAGCGAGTAAACATATAACCGTATCACCTTAAGATTATTTCTCAAATAAATGTAGGTATTTCGGGAAAGTACCCTGTTTTCTCACTTAGCAACCAAAACTTCAATATATTCAGCCCATGTTAAATGATCAGAGATAATAAATCACAAAATAAAAAAAATTAATAATGAAAAGGGGCTGTCGACCTAAATGGTTATACACCACAACCACTGTGTGGCTTAGAACTCAAATTTCAAAATGTGAGCATGTCAAACTCTGAGTTGGACACTCGCTGGTGTGATGTCTTAAATGTATTTTCATATATCAAAGATTCATGTTATATCATGCCTAAAACATAAATAATAATAATAAATAAATACATAAAATTATATATCATATAATTAATAAATAAATAAAAAACAGATATAACGAAGTAACCCTTTTGGGGAATAGGTGCTCAATCATAGTGTACAGTTAGTACTTAAAAACAACAAATTAAGGAGATAGTATGCAGTGAACTTCAGTATTAAGTAATTTCAAAATATAAAAATCATAGACAGGAATGGTCTCACAGACTAATAACCTGAAACAAAGCATCAACTCTTCATTCAGCTAGATACCTATAGTAAACGTGTAGCTATTTATCTCAATGGTATGAAACCGTGTAACGTATTACGTTCATTTAAGCCTAGCAGAGAAACAGTTTTTAGTGTAAAAGTACAATATGCTTCACGTCTCAAAATTTCTTTGTCTCAATCACCCCCTCAATTCAATTTGGGCACTGTTGCAAAGTGTCTAGCAACTGGAGGTGCCTCGTTAGGGTTATTCAAGGCTTGTCTTATGGATGATCTATGATTGGCAAATCTTTCCCTCAGTGTATATCTTGCCTTGCCAATATATGCCAGACCACACGGACAAAAGATTTTTTATATAACAAATCCAAAGGTGCATGTTATCCTGTGTCGGATTTTGTATTCCTTGCCTGAATGTGGGTGGTAGAATTTTTTGCCAGGAATGGTGGTTGGTGTAGGATAGCTGGTAAAAAGTTGTCTGTCTCTCTGTAACAGTTTCCAATTGCTACGGATCGCTCTTGTTATCTGGTACGACTGCAGTTGTAGGTTTGAGGGAAAACCACTCTGTTAACATCACCAGGGGTAGTCGGGTCATCTCCTTCATATCTTTCACAAGCTTTCACCGGGGCTTGTGTCACTAAATCGTGTGTATAGCCTTGTTCAATTAATTTTCTAAACATTACATTAAATATTATTACATTATTTATAGCAGGGTCAAATGTACTGCGTAGCTTGTGGGCATTAGTTGGTTCATGTGTCTGTTGGTGTTTGAAGAATTCAATTAATCTCAATGATCTTTCAAATTTGTATTGTTCAATTTCCCAAGTGAAAGCATTAGGTTCACTAGTCGGTACAAAGGAGGGGCCTTTTGATAAAACAGAGACCTCGTCCAGGTCTAGTCAGGGCCGGACTGGGGATACAAAGCAGCCCTGGAAAAAAAATATCTATGCCAGCCCCATAAGTCATTGAGCCACGTATTGTCACATGTAATATGTACGGCTATGTCTTGCCACCCCAGATGATTGAGTCATATATAAATACATATATTTACCATATATATTTTTTATATATATATATATATATATATATATATATATATCATCTGGGGTGGCAAGACAGATAATATATGATTGAGTCATATATAAATACATATATTATCTGTCTTGCCACCCCAAATGTATTTTACAAATACATATATATATATATATATATATATATATATATATATATATATATATATATATATATATGTATTTGTAAAATATATGTATTTATATATGACTCAGTCATCTGGGGTGGCAAGACATAGCCCCTTACATATTATTGGTCAATATATATATATATATATATTTGTTTTTTTTTTAATATAAAATATTCCTTTCAGAGTCAAACATTTAATTATACAGTAAGCATACTCACATGCAGACACAGACAATCTCACCGACATACGCAAGCTCATTGATACACAGTGTCATAGACAAACATACTCACTGATATATATAAGCTCATTGACATAAATACACAAGTATACAGATGCACACAAATAGGCTCACTGACAGACAATCTCACTGACATGCACAGACAAGCTTATTGGCATACACACACACAAATGTAGTACATACTTACTACAGACAAGCTCTCACACACACACAAGCTCACTCACTAGAATGCACACACAAGCTCACTCACTAGCAGGCACACACACAAGCTCTCTCACTAGCAGACACATACACAAAGACAAGCTCACTCACTAGCAGGCACACACACACACACACAGACAAGCTCACTCACTAGCAGACACACGCACACACACAGACATGCTCACTCACTAGCAGGCACACACACACACACAAGCTCTCACTAGCAGACACACACACACACAAGCTCTCTCACCAGCAGGCACACACACAAGCTCTCTCACTAGCAGACACACACACACAGACAAGCTCACTCACTAGCCGGCACACACACACACACAGACAGGGCTGGCGCCACCGTTAGGTGAACTAGGCATTCGCCTAGGGCGCCGGCCTGCTGGGGGCGCCCACCAGGAATTTCCTGGTGGGCTCACCCTGTTTTGGGCCTGCAGCGCTGGGCGTGCGGCTCTAGAGCCGCCCCCCCCCTCAGCACAGGGCCGCTCCTCCAGGCACCTGAAGGTGGGGGCGCCCAGAAGAGCCCTGTCACAGTATGGCAGAGCAGGCACCTTCTTACCTTGATGACAGGTGCCTGCTCTGCCATCAAATTCCGGTGACCAGAGGAGAGGGGGGAAGGAGAAGGCAGCGAGGGAGGCTGTTCTTGCAGCCTCTCACTCCTCCCTCATGCGCCCTCTGTGATGCCGTGAGCCGGAATATGACATCATTCCGGCCCCAGCATACTAAACGGCGGGCGGGAGGAGTGTGGAGCTGCCCCACACTGGATCCTAGGGAGGTGAGCGTTTAAGTGTTTGTCAGTAAGTGTGCGTGTGTGTCAGTGAGTGTCTGTCAGTGAGTGAGTGTATGTCTGTCACTGAGTGTGTGTGTGTGTGTGTGTAAGTGAGTGTATATCTGTCAGTGAGTGTGTGTCAGTGACTGAGTGGAGTGTATGTCTGTCTGTGTGCGTGTGTATGTCAGTGAGTGAATGTTTGTCAGGGAGTGTGTGTATGTCTCAGTAAGTGTCTGTGTGTGTTTGTCTGTCATTGAGTGAGTGTGTGTCAGTGAGTGAGTGTGTATGTCTGTCAGTGATTGAGTGACTGCCGGTGAGCTTCTGTGTGTGTCAATAAGTGAGTGTATGTGTGACAGCATGTGTGTGTCTGTCAGTGAGTGACATGAAGGGGCGGCAAAATGGATCTTTGCTTAGGACGGCAAAAATCCTTGCACCGGCCCTGCACACAGACAAGCTCACTCACTAGCAGGCATACACACACACACAAGCTTACTCACTAGCAGGTGCGCACACACACACACACACAGACAAGCTCACTCACTAGCAGGCAAACACACACACACAGACAAGCTCACTCACTAGCAGACACACACACAGACAAGTTCACTCACTAGCAGACACACACACACACACATACAAGCTCACTCACTAGCAGGCACACAGACACAGACAAGCTCACTCACTAGCAGACACACACACAGACAAGTTCACTCACTAGCAGACACACACACACACACATACAAGCTCACTCACTAGCAGGCACACAGACACAGACAAGCTCACTCACTAGCAGGCACACGCAAGCTTACTCACTAGCAGGCATACACACACACAAGCTTACTCACTAGCAGGTGCGCACACACACACACACACACAGACAAGCTCACTCACTAGCAGGCACACACACACACAGAAAAGCTCACACACACACACACAGACAAGCTCGCTCACTCACTAGCAGACACAGACACACACATACACAATCACTGTCCTGGCTGAAGCTTACCTGGTAGGTGAAGTTTCCCTTTTGTAGCCTCTTCCTTCCGGTGAGCAACGTGTGGGGGTGGGGGCGGGGCTTGTGCGGGGAGGCGGGGCTTGTGTGCAGAGGCGGGGCATGCGGCCGAAATTAAGGTAAATTGTGCCGGGAGACTGACAGGGCTGTCAGACCGGCCCCAGGTGCCACGGCCCACCAGGAATTTTCCTGGTATCCCGGTGGGCCAGTCCAGTCCTGGGTCTAGTGTCCTAGATGATAGATTGAAAATCGGGGGAAATTATTTGTTCCTGGTCTTCCTCTCTGTGGAGTGCGTACTGTACGTTCCTTGTCGTCTCGACCTGCGGCACCTTGTAATAACTGGCTGTGTTTTTCTTTAGTTGAATAAGTCTTTTATGTATATATATATATAGATATTTCTTCTTTTGGGTCAGGCTCGCCACAATAATATATGTCTATATTATTGAAAAGTACTAATACGCAATCTGACGTTCTTTATAAAAAATAAGTATTTATTCTACATTCAACAGCAAACAATAATATACTTAACAGATGGTATTTCTTAACGACGTTACAGAGAGTCATCTTGACATCAGAGAGGAGAGCAAAACGGATCGTAGCAGGAAGAGAGTGTAATCCTTTGTCCTTGGCTCTATATAGCCCAAATTACGTCATAACGTTTAGTTTAGACTCTGCCATATAAGGAAATTCCCTATATAAAGACCACCTCAAATCTCTTATACAGCAAATTCCAGAGACCTCATGGTACAGAATAGCAAACACCATCTGTTCTGTTTAACCCATTAGACAACCACACCTTAATATGTATTTGAATAGGAACATATAGAATATGCAATATTCTACACACCTCTTGGTCTTAAACTTGTCCTTGAGCCTCCCGGTTCTCTTGTTAATCCCAGTCAAGGATCTAAAAAAACCTTCTGACTGTGGTCTGAGGTGGAACCCTGTGTGGCTCTGCATGAACCACCCTGATTGCGTTCACTCTCTGAACCAGATTCCCCTGATGTAAGATCTACCGTGGGTTCTCTCGGCTTAACAATTCAATTGTCTTGGTCTTTGTGGGTAATATGGTTTCTCCCCGGTGAGCCACCGGTATACCCTGTGTTCAGAATAGTCTTGGTTAACTTTATCCAATTTCTGTCATTTGAATCTGATTAGGTCATTTCGGTAAGCGGTTATGTCGTCGTTGAGTTTTTTAATCAGATCATCACAGTTAGGAGCTTTGAGAACATCAGTATTCTTACTCTCAAATTCCCTTATATTTATCTTAGTAATTTTAAGTTCACGGCCAACCTTCTCAATCACCACCAACATCAAATCCAGCAAACATTTATTCAGGATACCTATCCATTTTCTACATACTTCAGGATTATTGCGCCCAAAATGTGGGTACATTGTGGATACGAAACCCACGTGGGATTTTTTTCATATGATAATAGTCAGACAAATATATTGCATGCAATTCAAGGTCTGTCTCTGTGACAGACCCATCTGTCTTTAAAATAATTTTATTCCTCCTTGGTTCATCTGTTTGTTCGTCTAATTGACTGTCCGTACAGCCTTTTCGTTTATTTACCCCTTTCCCGAATGAACTGCTGAACGGTTGGCCACCCAGCATGGAAGTGTGCTGCTGGTTAACTTCTTGGCCTCATTAGAACGTTGTGGTTAACTGCAGACACCTCTTAATTGGCAAAGGTAGACTAGGTGGTCTCGTTCATATGCTGACCACGAGGCGGCGGCCATCTTGGACGTACCAATGACCAGCGGTGTTCATCGACGATTTCATGGAACTAAAAATGTACACTATTTCTCACGAACACAGCTGAAGCCGCCGACCTCCCTTCTTCTGATCACCCAGCATACGAATGCCGGTCCGTTCGGTACTTTGTCTGCACGAATGGACTTACCCTGGATAGCTATGTCATGGAGCCCATTTGTATACCTAAAGACTATGTGAAAGACTTTGTCTCCATGGCGATTGAACTGTATGTATGTGAACTGAGCGCCATTCGGTAATAATGTGCGCTCAGATATAAGCTATCTGGGGATACGTTAAATGTGAATAATGCATTCGGTAGTTTGCAAGTTATATATTTTTATGTATTTTTATTGTCATGCCTAAAATTGAGTTTTGCCTCTGTCCTTGGAGATAATTGGATTACTTCCCATTTATCTCCAGGATAGAGAGGAGGGATCATAATGCATTGTGGGAGTGTTTAACAGTGCATGTATGTGATTGGTCACTTTATTACTGTTGTCACAGTTTTCAACCAAGTCCCCTAGGGGAGTGTCCACCTGGTGCAAGACCTGCATAAATACCTGACAGGTAGCCCACTGTGATCCTTGGTTGCAGATAGCACGGTCCTCTAGGGTACAAACATGCACAGTCTTTAAAAGAAACTTAATTCCAGGTACTTTATTGTTGAGCTTCACTGCAGAGACAGCAGTAGATGAAAACATAAATATAACACAAATCCCTATAAACAAAAACCTAGCTCGTCTGAGCACTAACATCAGATTCCCTATCTCTCAGGGGTTAAACTAGAACAAAAAAAATTGGTTTCACCAACCTATTGTCTTTGTCAGCTCTCAGCACTCCAGTGCTTAGTCAGCCTGTTGCTTCCCTTTCTACACTCCCAGTGCTCCAAACCAGCCTTAACTGCTTTCCTTTTTCACTCCCAGTGCTCCAAG